TTCCTCTAAAATCAATGAAAAATATATGTATAAAGAAAGAAGTAGATTACAGAGCTGCCCGGACATCTTTTTTCCTATTGAATCAACCTTCCCTCCCCAGCAATAACGGATTTTCTGAATTCACTGAATTTTTATGTTTTAATAATAGATAATACATCTCTGAATAAATATACTCTACTGTTTTGTGTTCTAATATTAATAATCAAGTATTTAATTTCCTTTTTTCAATCAGTCTTGTTTTTGAGGTTTATTCATGTTGATATCCTATATAATAAAAGGCTACTATGCAAATCGACCGATTGGCAGAACAACAGGTCGCTATGATGCACACTGACCACCAGGGGGCAGCTCCTACGTTGAGCTGCCCCCTGGCAGTGCGCTCGCTCAGCCAGAAGCTGGGCTCACAGCTGGCGAGTGCAGCAGCGGTGGCAGGAGCCTCTCCCACCTCCACAGCAGCGCTAAGGGTGTCCAACTGCCAGCTTAGGCCCGCTCCTAAACCATTAGTCGGACATCCCCCGAGGGCTCCTGGACTGCGAGAGGGCACAGGCCTGGCTGAGGGACACACACACCCCCCCCCAGTGCACGAATTTCATGCACCAGGCTTCTAGTTTTCATAATAACTTATATCTGTGGACCTTTATGTGCCAGACACTGGTGTGAGCACTTTACTGTTAGAGCCAGTAGTAATGGATTTTCTAAATTCACTGTTAATTTTTATATATTAATAATTTATAAATACATCTCTGAATAAGTATACTCAATTGTTGTCATGTTCTAATATGAATATTCAAATATGCAATTTCCCATTTTCAATCAGTATTGTTTTTGAGGTTTATTCATATTGATATTTTCATAATAACAACTTACATCTGTGGACACTTAGGTGTCAGACATTGGTGTGAGCACTTTATTTCATTTAATCTTTTTATTTTTGGTGTGTTTTTTATTTTTTATTTTTTTTATTAAGTCTTTATTGTTCAGATTATTACAGTTGTTCCTCT